ACCTGGAGGGCACCGCACAGGCTAAGGCCCAGCCGCCGGGTCCTTACTCACCCCAACTGCCCATTCCAGTCCCTCCTGGATGCCCGTGACGAGCACATCCACGGGACCACACGCCGTCCTTCCACAGCCACGGATCTGCTCTGCGTGACTCTCCCCTCTGTGGCTGACAGGTTGGGTGACCTCACCTCACGCAAGTTGCCTTCCCTCTCTGGGCTTCCGTTTCCCAGAGAGAGACCCTCCAGCACAGTGGGAAAGAGTACAGCTATCAAACTTGTCAAACGTTTGCATAGGAATCGCCAGGACGGGCCAAGCACGGCGGCTCACGCCTGTAATCCCAGCGCTTTGGGAGGCCAAGGCAGGTGTATCACCTGAGGTCAGGAGTTTGAGACCAGCCTGGCCAACATGGTGAAAACCCATCTCTATTAAAAATACGAAAGTTAGCTGGGCACGGTGGCTGGTGCCTGTGATCCCAGCTATTCGGGAGGCTGAGGCAGGAGAATGGCTTGAACCCAGGAGGCGGAGGTTGTAGTGAACCGAGATCGCACCACTGTACTCCAGCCTGGGCGACAGAGCAAGGCTCTGTCTCAAAAAAAAAAAGAAAAAAAAAAAGCAGGAGGACTTGTAAATAAGCAGATTCCCCAGCCCAGTCCCTGAGATCTGATTCACACAAACCGACAGGTGGGGGCCCAGGAATCTGCATTTGTTGTTGTTATTGTTGTTGAGATGGAATCTCGCTCTGTTGCCCAGGCTGGAGTGCAGTAGCACGATCTCGGCTCACTGTAAGCTCCGTCTCGCAGGTTCAAGCAATTCTCTGCCTCAGCCTCCCGAGTAGCTGGGATTACAGGCACCTGCCACCACGTCCGGCTAACTTTTTTTGTATTTTTAGTAGAGACGGGGTTTCACCATGTTGGCCAGGCTGGTCTTGAACTCCTGACCTCGTGATCGATCCACTCGCCTCAGCCTCCCAAAGTGCTGGGATTACAGGCATGAGCCACCACACCCGGCCTAGGAATCTGCATTTTTACCAAACAGCCACGTGACCCTGGTGGAGGAACCACCACGGAGAACCACTGAGTACTGAGTTCCTACTGGCCTCCCAGCTCTCTTGGTCTGGACAAGTGGTGCCAGGGTACCTAGTGCCAGGTGAGACAGCGCCAGGGCCACACTCAGGGGTGACAGGATGAGGTTGGGGCAGGTGGACGTTTGAGCCACCAGGGAGAACAGGTCGGCAGTGAAGGCCATCATGGCCTGGGCCAGCCTGCGGGTCTGCTCGGGGGTGGGATCTCTGCTGCAGACTCCTGCGGGAATCTTCAGGGCAGTCTGGCCGCCAGGCTCCTGCAGGGACAGATCAGGGGTCAGGGAGGTCAAGCGGTCAGCTCCAGGTTCTGTGTTGAAGGTCTTGTCACAGCCCCCGTGCCTGAGGACAGCAGGGCCTTGTCCCAGCCCCAGGGGAGAGGGAGCGTCACGCAGAGGGCACTGGCGTTCTGGGGCCTGGCGCCCACCTTCCCGCCCTCTCCCTTCTGGCCTCTGCACTCCAGAGCCTCAGCCTCACCACGCGCCCCTGCTCCCCACCCCTGCCGATGGGCCCTCCTCCCTCTGGCCCCGCCCACTCTTCCCCAGCCCCACCTGGTTGTACCTGGTTGCCCAACTTGAGGAGAGTAAGTGGGGGCACCCTCTCCTGGTTTGGCCCACCAGTTACCTGCAGAAAGGAAGCAGATGGAGAGCGACCCTTCCCACAGGTCCCCTACCCTGCCCAAGCCACCGGTGAGACCCCCCGGGCCTTCCACCCAGTCACAGGCTCCTCGCTCCCCAGTACCTGCCAGTCCAAGGGCTCCATGGCGCTCACAGGGGAGAACTGCAGAGAAAGGGGTAAGGATAGGAGGCCCCTCGGAGCCAAGCCCTCCCTCCACGCCAACGTCCCTCTTCTTCCCCCTCCAGCCCACCCCACCTCGACTTCAGCCCAGCCTCACCACGGAGAGGGGACCTTGCAGGCAGGACCAGCTGAGCACCAGGAGCCCCCAGAACAGCGCCATGTTCCTGTGGCAGGGACAGAAAGCTCTGTTCCCGTCTCACGTCCCCACGCCCGCCAGGGACTCCTACCCACGCCATCACAGATACCACCAAGTCCTGGGTCACGATTGCCAAGGGGAAGAAGCAGGCTCCAGGATGAGAGTAGACCCCAAACACAGGAGCAGCGGCTGCCACTCCTGGGGCTGGGACATCCCCCCCGGCTTCTTCCCCCTGTTTAGTTTCTGCTGTTTCATATTGCCTGCACTGAGAGCGTTTTGGTGAATAGGAGGGAAATACCAAAACAAAATGTTCTCATTCTTCAAGGCCCTGAGCTGTGAGTCAGGTCTGCATCTGCACCCAGGCTGCCTCTTGCCAAAGAACCTTGGCGCTTCCCGTAACTCTGCCGGGCTTGGCCTTACCTTGTAAAACGGTGGCACA